ACACGGTCGAAGAAGTGACCGCGGCCGGAAAGAGGTCCTTAAGCACCATCAAGGCCGGAGAACGACTATTGGAGGCGCTCGACTTGTGTGACGCTGAGCAGCTTCGCCTTGTCGAGGATCCCAGCGAACGACCCAGTCCTCTCTTGCTCGGCCTTAGTGCAGACGCCTACTTGCTCCGTACAATGGAAGGCATCAAGATGTCGGAACTGGACGAGGCCCTGACCGTGCTGCCGCTTTCTTCGGCAATCAACCTGCTGGAATACTGCGCTCGGCTCTTGGCCCCAGACATCAAGGCGGCGGCTCTTGCAGTGGAACTCGTCTCTCGAATCGTCATGTTTCTGCTGCGATTACACAACAGCCAAATTGTGGCCGGCGCAGCGAGTCGCAAGCTGGTGGCGGAGCTGCACGATCGAATGTCCCAAAGACTGGAAGCGTTGAGGAGCGACATGGGGTTCAATGCGGCCGCACTTTTATTCTGGAAGTCGGAACTAGCAGATAGGGATGATGCACCGTTCCGAGATGCGGAGGCAAGGGCTTTCAACATCCAAGTGAGCAAGAAAAGGAAGCTTGCACCTTTGGCACTCGCTCGATAAGAAAAATTCAAAGCCAAAACGCAAGACACGGGGAGCGAAGATGTTGTACCGCAAAGGGTTCGCTTGTGAGAAGACGAGAAAGGCACAAGAATATTAGTATTGTCCCGGTTTTTGTTCTAACATTTGTATTCAATAAATATTTGCTCGCGGTATCTCCAATTTGCTTTCTCTCGCACCTCGACCTTGGTCGTCTGCCGGCAAGTCACCTTCTCCGTTGTCTTTAGCAATGTAGTAGGGAGACTCGGGCAGTACATTTCCTGCAGTTAATCGTGTGCCGCCGTAAGCGATGCGATTAAGAAGCGATAAACGAAGGTGCGTGGTCCTGAAGCTCTCGTCTCTTCTCGTTGACTGCCAAGGCCCATGGATTAGGGTACATACCAGTAAGGTTTAAAGATATTACAACAACGATACTTTTCATGCTTTCCAACGATTGCTTGTTCGACCAGCTCCGAAGCATAGATGGAGCGGAGGGAAAGACAAAAACATAAGCAGCATCAGCAACGTCAGATGCGTACCGCTTCCCAACAACATCCTCCTTGCCAAATAATATCAAGCGGAGCCTCACCAAAATAAAATATCGGAGGTTCTACGCGCTGTCCTATTCGGCGCACGCTCTCCGCCTTTCGACTTACATGCCATATGGACTTCCTCGATTGAAAGCCACAGAGTCTGCCTCAATGCTGTTGTTCTTTCTTTCTCTGTAACTCGCTCTTGCCAGTTCTTCCTCGCATAATTTCCGGAGTGGTGACCCTGACCACCAAAAGCGCCAGCTTCTTAACAGTATTTGCATGGTCTTTGCACATTTCACCATACCGGCATGATTCCCCTCTCGTAGACCGATCAGTAGACTTTGTGCAGCCCCATCCAAGTCCACACGAACTCCTGGAGCTCCTTGATGTAGCAGAACTCCAAGATTTCTCGGCGAGTAATTGCGCTCCCCCCGCTCGATAGCGAGTTCATACAGAAGTTTCGCTTTGGCACCATTTGGCGAGATGTCGCCATCAGCCCCATAGTGCAGAAGGAATGCAAGGTTGTTTGCAGCACTTGCAGAACCCCATTTGATAGCCATCTCATAATAATACATCGCCTCTGGAATGTCCTTCTCCAACCCAGACTCCCCGTGGGCGAGAATGAATCCAATGTTGTTCGCTGCTAGCGCTTTTTGTTCATTGTTAGGCATCTTCATCAACATGGTGGCATCTGGTCTAACAGTACCCCGTGTCGGAGTTGTGCCCCCCGTACCTTTAACTTTCGCCCCACAAGCAACAACATATCTTCCAATTTCTACAGCTCTCTCGCGTTCTCCATCTCGAATAGCACGTATATACTCTTCCCGACCTCCGTTTTGCGTTGTATGCAACCCTTTTGACCGTTCCGGCGCGAGCCAATCGAGCACGCGTTTCGCAAACCGATTACCAACCAATGTCGCCCTGATAAGGTACTCCCCCGCCGCGTTGGTGTCTCTCACATCGCCGTAGTACCACCTATTGTTAAACATAGCGTGCATACGCCCGATGACCATCTCGGAGCAATTCAACTGGCGCATTGCAGCCTCGTACTCCACCCTTCTAACGAGGTACGGCGGCAGACATGCGCACCCTGCATGTGAAGAAAGCGTAATCCCGCTAACCCCATGCGAGCCAATAACAATGCCGACGGCAGAGTCGAGAAGGCGCTTTGCATCCTCTCTGGCGATTGGGGTGTCGAGGTGGAGCATGTCGGATGCATCGATGACTTGAGTCTCCCAGCCTCGGAGCGTACGTGGGAGGTTGCGCAAGCGATCCTTTTTCTTTTTTCTCTCTCGTTTGAGGGCGTTGGGGCTCAACTGTCTGTTTGGTCCTCGCAAAATGGACGGAACACGTTCCCCGGGAGCTGTCGGACCATACATGGGTAGAGGTGAATGTGTAGAGTGGGTGAACCAGTTGCTAATGTCGTCAGCGTGTCTAAGAGGATGTCGTTGTCGATATGTTTAAGGAGGATACGTGGTAGAGGCCGCCGGGCGGTAAAGGAGGTAAGTGGATTATGCATCGTGCTGCATGCAATGATGCATGCAGTGCTCGTCGTGGTGGTTTCTCAGTGGGAAAAGTGTGGGGTGGGGGCGCAAGACGGGCCCGGAAGGCTCTGTAGGGCATTTTTATTGACGTTGCTGAAGGAACGGTCGGGACGGGATGGATGCCCAAAACAACGGCGGCCAAGAAAACGCCGCACAATCGTTCTATTTGCGGGCGGATGGAGTGAAGAACGGGTGCGATTTGGGCCACGTTCTGATTCGAGTATTGCGGAAGATGAATCCGGACTGAGGTGTATGATGGATGTGGAGGGGGAAGGAGGGCGGAGAGGGCGGGGGTCGGTGCAGATACGAGTTGAATTAGTGGGCGTTTGTGTCTAGTTTTTGGGGTTTCGAGAATTTGACAGCCGAAATGAGGGAGAGCACCGTACTCTGCTTTGAACTTGAAAGGGGCAAAGGCAGGATGACAGGGGAGGGCGCAAGGCTGCCCCAGCGTATTGTGCGAGTCGCCGGGGCTGCTGCGAAAGGGATTGCTTCGTAATCGGATGCCATCCGTCTTGTATGGCACTTTGGCCAAAATAATTCACATGTATTGATCGCATGGGGGCCCCTTTCCTTGTGGTGCACCTTAATAGATGATACTTTGCGCTGCAATTTCATTACAAACCCCGCGAGGTGCGGCGATTGCATCTCTTGCTGCGTAACTACATGCCTTTGATGACAGTTCGATACTGCACATTCGGCAGTGAGGTGTCCCACTTGCCAAATAGACGTGATGCTTTCCAAATGTGTCGCCAAACTTTTCCAATGTAGACTCTTGTCTCAACCGAACCTTCTCTTTTACGTACATCTTCTCCAGGATACCGTAGTGATGATGCGATTAATTGATGCTACTACATCGCATCAGCCCCCTGGGGCATCATAACGATTTGATTGTCGCAGTCGACGAAACTATCGTTTCTCTTCATGCGATTGAGAGTGAAGCCGCTACGTCAGCGTCTCCAGGTTTGCTTGTCCGTTGCCTCGGAAATGCAATTGGGGGCAGTTATCTGTCCGTCCTGCGCACATTGCGACCATTTTCAATTATATAGTAGACGTAGCTCCCGTGCACACACGAGAAGTTCGTTCACATCCACGACATCATTCTTAGTCTTCACTTTTCTTCCAGTACGTTATTTCATTGCAACTACTCGTGAAGACATTCTTCATCGTGAGCTCCTTCCCCTCGACTGTAAACTCATTCTTGTAGGTGAGAGATACGGTTGGACCACAAAACGCTGAAAACCCAAACCTCTTCAGATACTCATACACTGCTGTCAGTTCAAGCCCAGGCTTTCTCGTCGACCCCTTCCCACGTTCCGCAATCAAAATAACATCGTCACAGTCTGCCAGAAATATCTTCATCCCTTCCAGCACCTTCATCTGACGTACTTGCAAACCAATCTTCACTAGTTAGGATTTGCATGGAACTGCTCCAGCACCTCATCCACGCTACTCCCCAAAATTTCATCTTTCGTTGCACTCTTCCATACTGTATTCGCTGCCGGGGCTGCTACGCTCAAGACGGCACTATCTCTCCTTTTCAATGGAAAGACGACTGTACTTTGCCACATAACGTTTGAAAGTCCCATCTCGCCAATGTAGAGCATCTCATCCGATTTGATTCGCCATTGCCATGGTCTGGGCAGATTTTTGTTGCATGCGCTCGATGGCGAGCACGCTGTGTCGGGGTTTGTAACATAGTGCAGCTGAGAGGGAGAGAATTCCCTGGTTGGTGCCCATGTTCAGAAAAGTAATTTCGTCCTCGAATAGCTGTAAGACTTTGAGGACTAGATTGGGGCGTCTGCCACCTTCCAAAGGAGCATGGAGGTGATATAAGATTGGTTTTCGGTGGTCACGGAAAGCAGAGATTCTTCCAAGGGATCTGTGTTACGGCGATAGTAGCTTTCCCGAAAGCCAGCAAATAGCTTCCTGAGAAAGATGACCACAAGTGCAGAGAGTGCAGCAATACTGATATGGAAACGTGGTCGTTTTCTTTTCATTGTTGTCCGTTTGAAGGAAGAAGGAGAAGAGTATAGCATAGGAGGCTCAAGAGTTGCGCTTTCCTTCATGCAGCAATGCAAACTCAACATGGAAAATAATATAGGCAGCATGGTGTCCTTGAATAGAACTGAGTTGAGAGACTACTGTTCTTCAAAAAATTCGGTTATGTAATCAAGAATTCTGATCTTAGTAGACCGCGGAATGCTAATAAAAATATACGAGGACATTCACTGGGCTTGAGTGCAGCCAATATGTGTTAGGGCGACAAGATATGTTCGTTGCGCCGATTTATGTCACCAATTGAAATCCTGCCCTTGTTGTAGACGAGGATTTGATTGCATGAGTCTGGGCCGGTCTTAACAGAGCACGTTCTTGCCCACCACCACCCTTATTATATCAATTTTCTGACTCTGCAAACCCCCCTACCTGACCTTTATCATATCTCATACACGTGATGCTCGAGAAAGAATAACGTATCGTGATTAGAAACTGCGTTTAGGTCTTTGGGTTTCCGACAAATCGCAGCTCCTGCTAGTACTGTAATTCAAAGTACCATAAGAACGCAAACGAAATTCAGAAGGTAGGGTCACCGGAAGACGTCGATGGGATAAAGAAAGAAGTTGACAGGAAAGATGTGCTTAAACTGCAGTGAACTGTCTGATGTCTGCGCTAGTACGCACGCAAGACCATGAGAAAAAGTCAAAGTCTCGGAATAGCTTCTGAAGGTTAAGCAATAGTTGTCGACCATTAAGCACCTCTGTACCGCCACGCATAGAAACAAAGGATCAAAACGAGTGATTTTCTGTGAATTTTCTGTGAATTTTCTGTGAATTTTCTGTGAATTTTACAGTAGTTTCTACAACACGGCAGATCAGAAAGCCGCTGTTTGTACAAAGGTCAACCAAAAGCGATGATGACATCAGTTAATGAGTGGGAAGCGGTCATTCCCACCAGTCGCGTAGACGAGCAACGGAAACGCACACGAACTGGGCTTGTTGTGATATATGTGAGGATGTTATGTTAACAAGAAGTTAAATGTAGCCGACCTTGGTCTGCACGACACTCCACAACTCTCGCCAGTCGTGACACATAAACTGGCCCTCTTCGTCCCAGTACACGCATACATGGTTGGGGTCGCAGCAATCGACCGACCCGTCGCAAACCGCCTTGTCTTCCAGACACTTTCCATCGCCGGAGGCGCCTCTCGTCGGAGTGGGCCGGGGACCTTCCCTCGTCCCTCCCTCATCAACAGGCGACATGGCCGGCGAGGGAGTTACTCTCGTCTCCCCGGCATCACCATCGTTCTGCATGACCGGAGAGACAGACGGCGATGGGGTTTGAACGTTAGGGTCCATGACGGGCGAGGCAGACGGGGAGGGAGTTTCACCTCCCTCCGGCTCAACACGATCAACGTCAACTGGAGAAGCGGACGGGGGTGGAGTCTCCGCCGTGACATCGGCATCGCTTCCCTCCCCATCCCCAACCGTGCCGACCTTCCCCGCGCTCTCGCCATCCTTGGTAATCTGAACATCCGAGCAGGTCCAAAACTCCTCCGGGATGCTCATCCCCTCGCACGCGGCCATCCCCGCCCGATAGCCGCCTTTGGCGCCTCCATCACCGTCGCACTCGGTGCCGAACGGATTATTGAAGGCCTCAAAGTACTCCAGAAAGCCCCTGGGGGCGCACGAGTTGGCCGTGGCCCAGTACCACTGCAGGACGCAGTGCTTGCACTCGACGTTGTCCGGAAGCTTGTAGCGCATGGTGCCGGAGTCGCCGCCCACAATGTGCTTGCCGACGTGTCCGCCCTTGCGGCATGGCACGTACCAGCGGCCGGGGTACGTGGGATCGACCGGGCCGCACTCATAGTGCGTCGCCGGGCTCGGGTTCTCGCATTGCGGGTGCTTGACACGCAAAAGGCGGTGGCAGTGGCCATCCATGAAGCACTTCTTCTCGATGTCCTTCGTGCCGCACGCGTCCAAGTCGCACAAAAAGAACTCAAAGTAGCCGTTGTGGTTGGTATCCAGCTCGGTGGTAAAGTCGACCTCCGCGCCCTTCTTATAACTCTGTGTCATGGGCACCTCCTTATACGGCATATAGCTGCCTCCCATCATGTGGTCATCGGCACCAACGGGGTCTCCGCACAGGCCTGCGCGCGTCGCGGAAGACTCAAAGTCGTCAATCGGGTCGTAGACCTTCCACCCATCGGGCGGCAAGTTGGCCATGATGGTATCCTTAGGGCCGCCGTTCTGGCAGTGTGCGCAGAAATCCGTGACGACATCGGGCGGCGGGGTGATGCCGTTCGGCGGGCACAGGTCGGAGATGTATGCGGCCCTCGCGCGCGGTTCGCACACCATGCCGTGTGCCGCGGCGCGCGAGACGAACAGGAGGAGCAGCAGCGGCGGGAGGAACATGGCGGGACGGGCGTGCATGGCGATCGGTGGGGGTGGGGCTGGTTGGAGGCAGTGCGGGGCCGGCGCGGCGCGGGCTTATATAGGCGCGGCTTGGGGGCGGGCGCGGCGCGCGCGGGGCGGGGGTCGCGCCATGTCGAGCGGCGGGGGTCAGGTCATGTCGCGCGGGTAGCGGGGCGGCGCGGTACGTGGGCGAGCGCGGATGTTTATCACGCGGTGGAAGCGGGGCGGGCGGAACACGTTAGAGGGGACGGTACGCCGGGCGGGCGAGGCGAGGCGAAGGACGAGGCGAGGCGAAGGACGAGGCGCGGACGGGGACACCGCTGCTCCGACACCCGCTGCTCCGACATGGTGGCAGGGGGACGCAGACGTGGCGCACTATGGCGCAAAGCGACGGGGGTTGTTCGTTCACCTTTGACGATGGGCGGGCGCGGGCACAGGCTTCCCCCCCCCGCCAACCCCCAAATGTTGCGCTCCCCCGTTGACGCGTTGGCGGCATATTCAGGATACGCCACGTGGACAACTGGTGTGTTGGTGTACACGTGTGCACGTTTACGCCTGGTGGCGTGCACACGTGGCGGTGTACACGTGGACAAATGGAACACGTTTGGTGGGGAATCGCATTTTAAAAAATGGCCCTTTAAAAAAGATGCGATTCAATTAGCCCTTTTAATAGCATGATACCTCGTAGTGGGTTTACGGCGTAAATCATTTCAGAATTCTGCAATGTAGTTGGGGGAATCAGAATTTTCGAGGGGTTTGTCGAAACTATTCGGAATTATTCGGAATCATCGTGAACAAGCACAGAATCTCGCGTGGAGCTTGTGTGCTCCTAATCCAGAATCACAAGTCGTGCTTATCGCATCGCCCGCATCGCCCCCGCCTGGTCCCCCGTCCAGCCTCAACCAACCCCGCCCTTCAAAACGCATCCCCTGCACCCGCGCCGCATCCCCACCATGCCCCTTCGCCCCGCGCCCTCCCCCGCATCCCCGCCCAACCACCCCAACCATGTCTCCGCCCTCCCCGCCCTCCCCGCCGTCCCCGCCGTCGCTCCTCTCCCGCCTCGCCGTCACGCTCCGCCTGCTCCTCGCCGCCCTCCTCCTCCTCGCCCTCTCCCCTCTCCTCGCCTGCTGCCTTCTCCCGCTCCCGCCCGTCCCGCCTGTCCGCCTCCTGCACGCGCTCGCGGCGGCCCTCCTCTCCCCCCTCCTGCGTCTAGCCACGCTCGACGTGCTCCTCCGCGCGCGGCCGCCCCCCGCCACGCCCGTCCCGTTCCCGCTCGTGCGCCGCTGGTCCTCGCCGCTCCCGCGCTCGCGCCGCATCGTCACGTACGACCAGCCGGCC